CTGCTCCCGACTTATTAGAAGAAAAGTCGAAAGTAGGAACCGACATTGATTCTTCAGCTATAATATGCTGTTGAGCTCGAGCTAGAAAATCTTGAAATGAAGTCGGTTTGTTCTGATAGATACTCCAGCGAAACAAGGAATTTGGCTTTAATCCAGCTATCGCTGTGACCAGCAACGTTTCGGGATGACATTGCTCCATATTTTGTACTCGTTCATTAAACCGAGTAATATAGTATTTAACGCTTTCGTTATCCTTTTGTATGATATTGGCAATAACTCCTTCGGGATTAAAGATACCCGAGCCCCGATGAGATGAGATCGAAAAGCCGTTCTCAATTGTTGCCATTTTGATATTGAACATCGGGGTAAATAGTGGTACCATTTTTGAGCACGAGGTCCCAAAGTTAAAGAAAACATCCGACATCTGAGTGCGTCGGTTGCCCCATGAAGATCCATCCACGAGGTGTATTGACCGAGATGTGCATCTGGATCCGAGGTACCATCATAAAGGCCAATCTGAGGGACTTTGACTTTGGAAGGGAGTGGTTCCATTGTTAAATGAGGAGCCAAGAGAGTCTCGGCTTCCGGATAGACATTCTCTGAGATAGGAACCCTTTGTTGAGATTCCTCAGGAATATCTTGCCGAGTTTCTAACTCAGTAATTCTCTTCCTTAACATTTCCAACTCTTCTGACTCACGCCTCAAACAGTTCCTTTCGATAATATGACGTAATTCATTGTTCTCACGTCGGAACCGATTTCGTTCAATTGTGTGACGTAAGTCAGACTGTTGATCATGTTGTGAAGTTTCCGGTGACAGAGACACCGGTTGCTGCTGACGATGCCCAAAATGACTTTCAGCAGTAATTTCTGGTCGAACTCCCTCCAGGGGACGATCGTCGACAGGAATTACACCACGATTATGAACGGCAATATTTCGTTGCGACTCAGGTGTTCGTGGTTGAGAAGTTGCATGAGACGCAGTAGAAATATTATGTTGTTGAACAGGCGACGTCTGTTGCCTAGTTGGAGGGTTTGAAGCATGAGCTTGACTAGGAACCGTCATAGTTGGTCCTGTTCTTGTTTGTGCCATGAAATTAGATAGATTTCTGAGAAACTCTGGATCTTGGAGGAGAACAGAGTAGTCTATCGTCATAGATGGCACAGTTGTATTGTCAGTTGTATGAGCAGGATGACGATTAGTTCCAGCTTCTGGATTTCGTTCTTGCCGCCCAGAATTTGACATAGTGATAATACGTGTATGGAAGTATTATTTACACACGTATATAGTAGATCAAAAAAGTTGGCAAAGGCAGGGGCCTGCCCTCCTTCTAGCGCCAAACTGTTGTTGTATGAAATTAACAACTAAAAATCACAAACAGCAAGGTTTTAAACAAAAATAAATGTAGAATTGGATTGTATTGATTTCACAAGAGTACAGGAAGCCGGTTTTTTATTCTTAACCGAGATCATTTCAAGTCCGTGTACAATGTGTGTTCCAAGATTCAGAAAAAGATCCAAAAGTCCTTGTACAACTATAAATTCTGTTATTTATAGTACGGTCGTTTTTGTCTTTTTGTCCGAGGTAGATAAGATTGCATTTAATGTTGAGCAGCTTCAATTAAACGGTGTGTAGCGGAATGAGGAAACATCAATGATTGCTTTTTGTTTTGATGGTCCAATCGAATGTGTACAGCTCCTCTTGCTTGAAAATTCGATCTTCTCGGATGTCGGATGAACGGATAATCTTTTGTAGACATAATCACATTGGTGAAGTCGGTTGTCGGCTTCTGATAGAGAGTCGGTTTTACTTTGTTGATTATCTAGATGTCAGTTTGACCATCTAGAAGTCGGTGATCGACATATCTAACTGGTACCGACTTGAGCTAAGTTTAGCTATTTCTGAGGGACTAATAATCAAACGAAACAATTAACCCAAAACAATTAACCTTCGGCTCTAACCTCATGAAACCAAGTCGCTTATCAACAGCTGCCTTTATGATCCATCTCTCTGGTTGCAAATGGCCTTCAAAAACCCAAATGTTCATTGCTTTCCAGAGCCACCATAATATGTAAGTGGATAGTTGGATTCCCCTCTTCTGATGTACCTTTGAAGTCCATACTACTGATCCACCACCACCACTGTTTGAAGGTAAGATGTTCTTGGTGAACAAAAAATATCGACATTATTTTTATAAAGTAACAAAAATAATCAAACCAACTAACTATATAAAAATATATTTTTGTATAAAAATATTATTTATTTACAGCTAAAACAATTAAATATAAATATTAAAAATACTGAATATTTTTTTATAATTTATATATTAAATTATTTATATTATATGTAGTATTTCACTTACCGATTATTTAAATTCTATTTTAGTTTGGGTTAGAACAAATTATTAAAAATAAATGCGCTGAGAGTGCACCATATTGTTAGATGAATTGCACGGTAATGACTATCAAATTGAACTTAATCGATTGAACTAATTTTATCAGTTTGAAATTTTACATTTTGGTTCCATAATATGTTTTTACTTATAAAAGCACGATTATTTTAATTCAAGGTCGATATTATTTTTTTAAAATAACTAAAATAAAAACCAAACATACTGAATTACATGAAATATATTATTATTATTATTATTATTATTATTATTATTATTATTATTATTATTATTATTATTATTATTATTATTTTGTATTTATATGTATTACAACTGCACAATGATGTTGTACAGATTGCACGTCAATGACTCTCAGGTTGCACTAGCCGTCGAAATCGACCGAACTAGAATTTTCGGTTCAATTATATTTTATTTTCTTTGAAATAATATTTTCTTTATTCAATTTATAATATGCGTTTATTAAAAAATATTTTTACTTTCATTATCATTATTGTGTAGTTAATATACTTTTCATAAATTACAGATTTAACCCGTGCACTAAATTGAACTTTAATAAAAATCCTAGAATTGTAATTAAGCCCCTTACATTTATCAAATTCTCAAAATACATGCCCCTAAAATCTTGAAACATGTTATGTACATTTACGTCTCTCATTCACCAACAATTCTCAATTCAATTTCACCTCTCGATTTGATTTCATTCACCAGAATTTTTTCATCGTTCAATCGCCGGTCTTTCAATTTCACCTCCCCTGCCGGCGACGAGCTCGAGCGAGTCGAAATAACCTATTTTCGGTTGATAATTTGCAGTCTGTCTCTGCGCGCTGACGGATTAGGGACTCTCTCCGTGACGGCCACCGTCACACTCGACTGACCGATGGGTGCGTTAGCTATTTTGAACTGGACGGTGATCGACGGTGGACTGTGGCCGTGAAGTTCGTCGCAGAGATGCACTGGACGACGTCCGCAGTGGATCTTGTGGCGGTTGCAGGATTGTGACGACAGGACATTGCGGGCGGTGGCCGCGGCTGTCTGCAACTTCAGGCAAGAGCCGACGTAGGTCGATAGCAAGCGGCGAGATGGATGCGGCACTCGACGGCGGACGGCGGGCGACGGAACGCGGCGGCGGGCTGCAGTTGAAGTGGTCTCCCATGGAAAAATCCGACTGGTTTGCCCTTATTTAATGTTTCAATGTGTATATTTGACCATGAAGTATACACTTATTTACAACAATGCCACCCTATGTTTAACTGCCATATTAATGTTTGACTTGATGATAACCATTGATATGTTGGATCCAATGATCCAGACTTATTCTCATTTCTTGCATTACGAGTCATTCTCATATGATCATTTCTCTGGTATATATATCTACTACGAACTATTTAATGCCAACCTTTTTATGTTTTTCATAATAGTGATTTACTAATCACTTCGAAATGAAGATGCTTTTATACTCTCTTTGATAATACGTTGTGTAAACCAAAATGTTTCATCCACTTCAAAAAATTTAGGATGCTCTTACCCTACATTTAAAAAAAAAATGTGAATCATAACCAAATTTGAAGAATTAAAAACTGTTAGACGAAACAAAGACCCCACTAATAAAAGTTGACTTGAAATTTTGTCAAAATCTATTTTTCACGAATCACATATTCACATGAACTTGGGAGAGGTTAAATGCAGNAAGCACAGAAAACTTGCCTTTGCTCTCATCACAAGCTACATGCACCAGCACCGATATTATGGGCCCACTTTACTTCACAGTCCATTAATTACTACATTCAACCCAAATGGGCCCATTAAAACCTACAATTTCAGCCATCTTTTCCCTCCAAAAAATATCAGAATATCGTCCCCACCAAAGTTCTCTGCACAAGCACCGCACCCAATAACTAACACCTAAATTGCCACTCGAGAGCCCTTAATTTCAAAATTTTCCCAAAAGGGAAAATAAATGCAATGTACTTACCAATTTCCTCCCAAACCAATTCAGACAGAAAAGCCCACAATTCTCCCTATCTTCATTACCTCTCTCTCTCTCTTTCTGCTAAAAAGCCCTTTTCTTTTATTTTTCGCATTTCCCCTGAAAACCAAAAATAAAAATTAATAGATAGAAGATTCTGCAGAAACCCCTAATGGCGTGAGAGGGTTTTACTTTTACAAAAGGGTTTATGGTCTGTTTGGAATTTTCAAGGTACGCCTCCATTTTTGTATATTTGTTCCCATTTTCTAATTTTATTATTTAATCCAAATTTCTATACACCTCCCTTTGAATTCAAAAGTTTGATTTTTTTTTTTTCTCTTTATTCTCTGGATTTATGCAATTTCCTTAGGCTGCATGCATGTTTCGTTCATTCGTTGCGGAGGTAAAATGTGTTTTCAAGATTTTAATATTTTCTTTCATTTTGTGTTTTACTCCTTTTTAATATTATTAGTATATATATATATATTTATATATATGTTTTTTTTGTAATTTTTTCCATTTCTTACATTATTCACGCAGCCATTGTAGCCAATGGCCTAGGTTTTTGCCGTTGTTGTACGATGCGATTCTTGACACGACGTCGTACAGATTGGGCCGGAAAANATAAAGATTCCATCAAATATCCTTATGAGAGTCCTATTACCTCTGCAAGATTTTTAACGTGTGTCAATTCCTGAAGAAATTTGCTTGGTTTGGTCTTAAAAGTGTTTTAAATTAGTAAAATTTCGTGAAGAATGAGTCATATTAAAATTCGGCATGTTTTTCTTAGTGACATAACAAAATCGTGATTGGATAAAATTTTCAACGTGACATTTCCTAAATATGTTCAAATAAATCTAAGCCCAGAATCAAGTAGGATAACAATCAATTAATATAATCTCATCATATTTAATGTCCGTTTATTTTACCTTTTTCTACAATTACACAATTTTCTGGAACTACAAAGTTGTTCCTGATTCTCGACTAAGGAACATTAAAGTATCATCTTTTTGTTCCCTCTCTCATATTGCAGCATATTTAGCACTACTGACATTTGAAATTAAATACGTATTTGGGCCCTGTTTGTGTATATATTTTTCTCAGAATATGGATAAAGTCGAGCCTTATGATTGCTGGGAGGGCGTCGTGAATGGATGTCTAGATGACAAAGATTTGGACAATATACTAAGTATATTGGATTTTCCTGTCGAGGGTTTTGAAGGAGATGATGGGTTTACTGGGGAATGGGTTTTACCGCCTGTGCCAACTGCCGACGTGAGTTTCTTTTTNGAATCATGAGTGATGGTTATATTCATATAAGTTGTTATACATGTTCTTGTTTGATGTTAAAATAAATAATCAATATATTCCTTAAAAAGGGATAAAAAAAAATCAACTTTTGGTTGAGTAGATGAATATCATTCACAAAATGAACCGTAATAATACTTGAAGCATATGTGGTTTGTAAAAGTTCCCGAATTTTCTGTCTTTGACGAGTGCAAAATACCAAGGAAACGAAAGCGGATTGTGGCTCAACTATGTTAATGTGCTTGTAAATGATGCCTTCTCATGTTTTATTTGATAATATGTCGTGAAAGTTGCAGTATTGCTGGATTTGTTGGTTAGACATGGGGTAGTTTCAACTACATTTCACAATAGCTGCATTTTGTCTCTTAAATTGGATTGTTTCAATCCAGTTGTTTTACTTTCTAGTATTACAGCAGCCATCGACTAAACAATACGACGTTTAGGATCTTAAGAAAAAAAGCAAGCTGTTAATGATATGTTCGTTAGCATTTTAATAGGAAAAAAACAGAAAAGCTGATGTTTGATATATTGATTGTTGGCTCTAAGCGCTATAATTTATCGGTGTGGTAGGTTGGGGTGCCGTTTTTTTTTTTTTTCTTTNNNCTTAATTTCCTTATGCCTTTACATCGGACACGTGTTTTTGCGTGAGGTTGCATACTGTTATTTACATGACGTGATTATATACTTGAAAAAGAAATTTTTAATCGGAGCAGTTACAAGTTACAACTAGATGCAAAGTAATTGATAAAATGTAGGCCAAATTGAACTGACAAGTTATCAAGTGATACATCTACTAGGTAGATAGATCTCTGTCTGCTAGCAGAAACTAGTTCCAAAGGTGAGTTCTATTTACAATTGGAAACAAATTTTAAGTAACTGTATTTATCTATTTATCTTTGACGCAATATCTTTCCTGCACTTCATATCAAATAGAGATTGAGATTCGGAACTTTCACTATGATGCCTTTATGTGAATACAACATTATGTCCTTTTTTTTTCGTATTTATTTGTCTTAGAACTACAATTACTCATTTGGACATGTTACACAAGTGATCAAAAGTGCCATTAGTAACTCCGGAAAAAGCTGCAAGTATTACTTCATGTCATGCTTGTCTAAAGAAATCAAGTTGATAGTGTGGTTTGTGTGAGTTGCTTAATATAATATAAATGTTCTCTGCTGCATAATGCCCATGTCAATAAAAGTCCAAAACTAGGAGAGTTTGGTAAGTAAAATTTTCTTATTTGTTACATGTTATGCATAAACATGATGTCCCAATAATCATTATAATTCATTGTGTTTTATTTTAGTCTTTTATTATTATGATTTTTATTTTTTGGCTTACATCCTTTTATCTCCATTGTTAAACACATGATTAAAGAGCGATGCAACTCCCGAGCCACCACATCAGTTGTCCTACCAACTAAAAAACACAACCTCTCGTCCCCTTACAAACCAATTCACGGATGCCCAAACGATTTTCCACACACAAAGCCCTGTTTCTGTTCTCGAAGGCAACAGTGGGCCTTCATCCGTCATAAAATCCTGCACCAGCAAGCGAGCTCGATCCAAACGGGCCCGCCCTTCAGGCCCAAGCCCTTGGCTCTCCCTCTCCCCTCCATTTTCTGCAGCAAGAAAGCCCGGTAAAGCCAGGGGTAGGAGAAAGAAATCATCTGCTGTCGAGGGAGACCACATAGAGCCTGAGCCACCACAAAATGGGGTTAAAAAATGCATGCATTGTGAAGTTACGAAAACGCCCCAGTGGAGGGAGGGCCCGGCGGGCCCAAAGACACTCTGTAATGCTTGTGGGGTTCGGTATCGTTCGGGCCGACTGTTTCCGGAGTATCGGCCAGCTGCTAGCCCGACATTTGTGCCGTCCGTGCACTCGAATTCTCACAGGAAAGTGATTGAGATGAGGAATAGAGCCATATGGCAGCCGGTGGGTGAAAATTTGCCAATGTCGCCTGAGATGGAGTTTGTGCCGATGAGTAGCTATTTGTTCGATTGCTTGAGCTAAAGAAAGAAGAGATGGGTTTGTTTTAGTTAGGGTGTCAGTTTAGTGTTTTTTTTTCCTGGTTCTTTGATTAAATGTAGTGTCTTGTACAAAAAATTAGATTGAGTTAAGAGTTCAGGTTGATTGTTAGAAGTTGGCCAGATTAGTGTCAGGAGAGGGCTGGTTGTTTAGGTGACTGTATTTAATGATGTTTTAATTTACTTGTGGTTGTCTTCCCTTTTTCATTCCATTTCTTAACTGTAACATCAACAATTGCCCACACTAGGATCCATGGCTTTTGAAAAATCCACAAGTTGCAGGTTTTTAACAACCACCACAAATGTTATATGGTTATTTGCATCCTTTTCGTTAGGCTTGGTCTCTTCTCTGCCATGCATAAATTGCCACATCAATGCTCAAACGAGCAAGATTCTTTTTGGAGCTCCTCACAGCTTCCAGATAGTTTTGTTTATTGGGCAACATATAGTATCCACTTCAATCACTCTCTTTTGAAGGCTGCACCTTGTAGAAAGAATATTTGAATATCATTTCCACAAAAAATGTTTTAGTTTGTTTATTATATTAAGTTTCCAGCTACAGGCTGTAATTACCCTCCTCAGGAGACAAATTTTACTACTTTATGGATACTCAAAGAGATGAATCTTCTTCATGATAAGATTAGAATAAAGAGATAGTGAAGAGTCGTGTCTTGTGCCTCAGCTAAGTCTGTTTGTCTGAAGAATCAGAATGAGGGGTCTTAAGAGCCAAAATAGTTGTAGCTTCATATTATGTGAAGATTCACAGCAAGGACCATATTAGGTTAAAAAGGTACACATGGCTCCTCTCAAAACCTAACCCTCTATCCATTTCCAATAAGCGAGCAGACATCCCCTCTGATAGTTGTAGTGGCAGAACACCAGCTTTTCCACAACCAGGAAACACTTTGCGGAATCTTGGAATTGAACAAGCTAGTATTAGGAAAGTTTTTAGCTATAAGAACCTTGTTGACAAAAAGATGGATGTATGTCCTATATTTGTCACTCTAGTTCCTTTT